GTCTCATAGCACACTGATGTAAACCTAACATAGAGCAGAAGGATTGGATGAATAATCATACTGCTAATCCCACCTGCTGTCACACAAGAAATACATGTTAAGATATGTATAGATATCCCAGTTAACCTTAGCATCTGCCATCAGAGCAAAATCACAATTGCACTGGAAATGGCACAGCAGACAGATTTGACTTTCTGTCAGTACTATCCCATGCCCATATTCTGCAGGTTCGGCTCTCCAGCGCTAACACAGCCTGAAGTCTGTGTGTCCTTGACACTTTCCAGCAGTGGGATGTTTCAGCCCTGTGAGGAATGCAGCACACTTCCCATGGTATATTCAGATGACTCTGTAGGTTAGTGGCTGTGAGACAGAATCACAGTTTAATTTCTTCCTCTTCTGTAATGTGTTTAGAGCCCCATAAGAATGATGGTGTGGGGTCACTGCAAATGCTGGGATGGCATCTTGCTGTTGTACAGCATCACTAAAGGACCAGTTTTCAATTCTTTTCCCTTGAAAAATTTCCAACATGCTTGAAAGGAAGTAAGTGCTTATAGAAAATGGGATCTAGTCAGAATTGTTTGGTCAGAGACAGGATTGTTGTGGATAAGTTGTCAAAAATGGCTTTTCCCTCACGTCATTTCAGCTTCTACTTCATCAGGTGAATCCAAGAATCTGTGCAGTGTTTTAAGACCACAGAACTCTTGGTGTTTTTACATCCCTCATGAGTTAGTTTTAGTACCTTCAGTTTCTATAATTTTCTTTTACAGTGGGGGAGGATGCAAGTCCTTTTGCATATTTCAGTGGTGAGAGCTAAACTAAGCATCATGTGAGTATTATGGTGTGTCCCAGTTTTCCAAACCGAGGCCATGTCCACTGTGCCATCTACCTGCTGAGCCTATCCCTGAGGAGGGCTGACCTGCATCTGGGTTCCACCTTGGCAGGGAACCAGGACATGATGGCATTCACACCTGGCCTCACGAGCTCATGGTTCTTTTTTATGCTGTAGATATACACTCTAAAAAGCAAAAGACAATGTCAAGACTGAAAAACACTTGCCACCCAACACTTGCATGAAAAATACTGCTTTCTCTTGGGCAGCCGTCACAAAAATTAGAATAATAATCAGGCCTATTTAATGCTAATTTATTTTCTGCTGTCAAAAAGGGCTGATGGTTTATTCTAGCATTTTGTGCTCCGTCTCAGAATACCCCTCAGAATTTGTAATCGGAATCCTAGGCCTTCCCTATATCTTTACGTGAGAGAATTGATAATACATAATCCTGAAATATGATGTCAGTATGTTTTCTATTCTACACAACTATTTTTTAACAACATGGATTTAGTGTTTTCTTCAATACCTGCAACTCAGTTTTTCATACTCCCTTCCATGTGTCTGCTTGAAAAGAGAGAAGGAAAAGTCATGGAATGTTAGAAAGCACCCATTTAATTTGCCTTTAATTCAGGGAGGCTGAAGGAGGAAGAAATGAAGTTTTCACCCTGATATGAGAACAAAGCCAAGTGATAGTTGCATTGTAAAAACATTAAGGAAACTCCCTGCTTTTTACAGTCACTTCTAGTCCTTTCAAATGACAAACCAGTTAAAGAATTTCTAGGTAGCCTAAGTGCTCTCTCTGGTATTCTAGAAAATGGAAGAAAACAGAAGGTAAAGCATATGTTGTGTTGAGAGAAATTTTGCAATTGAAGGTGTGATGCCACTTAGACACTGACAGCTGCAGTGGTCATAACTTAAAATGTCTTCACAAATACTAAAATCATAGAATCAAAATTCTGCCGTGATATAGAACATCACTGCTCAAAAAGCATATAACATTTTGAAAGATCTCTTTGCTGTTTTACAAATAATTTTTCTCATCTATAACTACTGCAAATTATACAACTAGAATGTGTTTCTACATTCTGTGTCTAATTTATCATACATACAACTTTTAACATTCCACAGTGTTGTCCTGACATTACCAGGAGTAAAAAAACCTAAGACATTTAAAAACACAAAGGAGTCTACTTAATCTAATGAATGGGTTTGACCATTTCCATTCAACTCAGTTTAGATACTTTGTTTTTCTTACTACTTCATCTTAGGAAACAGACCAGCCCATGTTCTCAATTTTTTGCTTCAGTAGCCCTTAGAATTTATCCACGTTTAACCCTTCAATTAAATAGTGCTGCTTACATTCCTTTTTACGTTTCAAATTGATAGAGTTACTCTGTTCTGCCCTATTTGTTAATGAAACAAAATCTTCTATTTGGCCTTCACAGGTTTTTTTGGGCACTAGGCTATGGGTTTACTGGGGTTTTCAACCTTGCTACATTCATAAAATCTTTCTGAATTTGCTGGCTTCTGCAAGCATCTGCACCATTGATATTTCTATGCTGATTCTCCATACTGTTCTTCAACAGCTTTCTGGACAATAATTTCAATTAGAGCACAGTCTTAATTTTCCCCAGAAGAATTATGTAACATTTACACTGAGTCATATTTGCCATCTGCTGATCCAAGCACATAAACAATACAAATTCTTGAAAACCTGAGATTTTCCTTAGTATCTGCTTCTAATCTAGTTTTTCACAAATGTGCAGGTTTATGCACACACCTCTGCCTTATGATTAGCTCTTCACCGAATACTGGCACCTCTTCAGAGGCTCTCAGCAAATTTGAAGGAATCTCTTCACGCAGAGCATGCAGAGGATACATGTGAGAAGGTGTTTATCAGGCAGCGCACGTGACTGCATACAAAATCAGAAGCAAGGCAGGAATACAGGGAAATTATGGCAACCTTAACAAGAATTCACAATGCAGGGGTGCTCTTAGTTTATGGCTAATTTCTTGGGAACTAGTTAATGTTTAAGTGGCTGGCAACAAGATTCAACTTTTTAGCCCAGCTTTGAATTACACTTTTCCACTGTGACTCTGCTGTGACTAAAGACTTAAACTATGAATCCTAATTCATGTGATTATACATTTATATATTCAAACCACAATGAAACACTTGTGATCACAGAATCAGGCCTTAAAATTGCTATTTATATCAGACTCTTTCAATAAGAAAAGCTGTAGCTAGAGAGTCCTGAATAATTTCATGCATGTGTTCAATTCTGTGTCCTGCTGACAATATCGGAGAAGACATCATTTTACACCCTGAAAATGACATATGTAAATTACATTTTCTAGATAAAATATACTGTTTTGTTTCTGTGGATGACTTTATTGAAATAACAGGTCTCCATATGGACTGTTTTTTATTTTGTAAGAGAAAATCAGACCCCAGAATGAAATTTCTGTCAGTGTTTAAAATATTAAAATTGTTCAATTAGCTAACAGAACATTACACAGGACACAGAAACAAAAAAAAAAAAAAATCTGTAAAACCGTTACTGACAGGAACTAAAGCAAATCATTAGTGAAATTAATAAGGATCTTTCCACCGCCTTAAATGTACCACAGGTTTGGTGTAATAAACACTCCCTGAAAACATAACGTTAGAATCCTGCCTAACGCAATGTTATTTTGCCATTGTTCCCATTGCTTCTTGTGAACACAAGAGGAGAGTGGGAACACATGGGAGAGAGCCACGGATCCCAGTTGGGGAACGGTGAGGGATCATAACTTACTTGCCTATGGTCCTACCTACACCAATTACTAAACTAAAACAGGAACACGGGGCTCTAATTTACTTCTCACATACGCACAACATCAAACGGTGCATTTGTCAAGAATGTGCCTATGAGCCGGCCAGCACTGAGTATTTTCAGCACTGCTTGAAAGAACCCAAAATCCAATGAGGAACGGTTATTTTCGGTGCCCAGAAAAGTCACACAATTTAAAAGGTCTCTGTAACAGAACCGGGAGCTCCAGAGGGGCCGACTGGATTTGATACTAAATATATTCAGTTATACCCCCTATCCTTGGAAACCCTGAGAAGCGGCGACCCTGGCGTGCGGCAGGTGCGGGCAGTCCCGCCTGCCCGATTCGCTCCTGCCCTGCGCGGGGCCGGATTTTCCTCTCCGCCCGCGCGGTCCGCGCAGCGGAGCCGGCGCTGTCCGTGCGGGGCTCCCGGATGGGCAGGGGCCGCGGATGGCGCCGCCGCCGCCTCGCACACACGCCGCGCTGTCACACGGGCCCCTCGCCCCGCCCGCACCTGCCGGCAGCTCGCCCCGCGGGCGGCGCGCGTCCCTCGCCGCCCGCCGCAGGAGCCCGCCCTCTGCTCCCTCCGCTCCCGCGGCTGCTCTGCCCTCAGCCCCCCCGCGCCGCGGCTCCCTCGCCCCCCGTGCACAGCGCGGGAGCCGCCCCCCGGCCCGGCGCTGCCCTGAGGCCGCCCGGAGCCGCCGCGGGGGGCGCGGCCGGCGCACCTGGCGGGGCGGGGGGGCGGGCGGCGCTGCCGGCACCGCAGTGGGGCGCGGGCCGGGCCGGGCCGGGGGCGCGGCGGCCGCGGAGCGCGGGGCCGGGGCGGGCGCAGGGGGCGCCGCGCCCGGGCAGCCACTGGGAGCGCGCCAGCCGCGTCTCCTCAGCAACGGGCCTGGCACGGCAGGGCTGCGCCTCCTCCCTCCTTCCTTCCCTCCCTCCGCCCGCTCCTCCCCGCTTCCGTCCGTCCGTCCGTCTGTCCATCTGTGAGGGTCGTTATCCCCGCCGGCCCGTCCGGCCACACGGACCGAGGCTGCCCGCTCCCCCCGCCCCATCCTCCCGGCCGGGGCTGTGTGTGCATGGGAGTGGGGGGAGCTTCTTTATTGGCCTCGTCCTCCCTCTCTCCCTGCCTCCCCCCTTCTTCCACACTCCACCCAGAAATGATCCAGTGAAACTAGGAGGAGGTGATTCTCCTCCTCCCTCCTGCTGCTGCTCCTGCTGGTCTGGAAGGGACTGCAGGAATCTCTGCTGTGCTCTGCTCTGAGGCAGGGTCTGGGGAGGGGAGACCGTTCTGTGGAGGGAGGGGGCCGCTGTGGCCCGGGGTGCAGCTCTCCCGTGGGGGGCTCCTTGGTTCCCGACCATGGGGAAGGACCAGGAACTGCTGGAAGCCGCTCGCACTGGGAATGTGGCTCTGGTGGAGAAACTCCTCTCTGGGAGGAAAGGAGGGATCCTGGGCAGTGGATCTGGAGCTATTCCCTTATCCAGCTTATTGAGGTAGGGACATCGTTCCCCATAAAATGCTGGGGGTATTAACCTGTTCTTCCCTATCATCATTATCATCGCCCCTCTCATCTTCATTTCCATTCCTGCATCCTTCATAGTAACAATAAATCGTTCACTCTCTCGCCAAGTACAAGCATGCCAGGGTTTAAAGTCACAGGCAGTCATTTTATTGATGTAGTGGTACTGAATTTCCTGTCTTCAATGCGTCTGCAGGGTCCTTGTTCATTCTGTTACTAGCTGTGGTGCAGAACTTATGTTTTGACTGCTGGGTTAATACATACAACGTATTAATTGCCCTTCCTTTGATATTTCCATCTTCAAATTTCTACTTTAATCACAGATGGAAGTGTTTATCACAGACAAGGCATTGCATCGTGGAATTCTGTGTTAAAAGACGTAGCTTCACCCCATACCCTCACCCATAGCTGCTACCCTTGCTGGCAGAAGAAATTAGGCATGCCATAGTAATAAGCCTACAAAACAAAGAAAGGGAATCTTTTTTTATGGGAGATCATCGAGGCAGAGGAGGTCTAAAACTTAGGGAGCAGGTTAGGTAAGAGCAGCATTACTTTCAAGGTACCTGGCTTTAGTGGAGTGTAACTGGGTTACTGGCCATGTTGGGTGATAGGGCTTAACTTCAGTCATTAGTTGTGTCTCCTGGGATCTACAGCATAGCTTTAATCGTAAGTTTCATCATGCTCTTTAGTCAGAGCATTGTCACAATCATTTACAGCATTGGACTGTATTCAGAGCAGAGAAGGTCTGCAGCACACAGTCCAGTGCTAGTGTTCAGTGCTAAACTAGGCATAGCAAAGGAAGACAAAATGAACTGGAACACTGTTGACCTAGAACTTGAATAAATTGGGGGTTTGGTTTGGTTTTTTGTTCCTTAAAGAAAGAAAAGGCCTAGCACAATGGAAATTGATTAAATGAAAATATATTTGTGATTCTGTTGCCAGTGCCTTCTTGTCAAGGTATTTATATTATTTCCAAATTCCCTATCAGGGAAAATTTAATGTTCACTCTCCAAGTTGTACTGTTCAAACTCTATTATAAAATCTTGCTATTTTAAAGCTATGTTTTGTCCTGTAAACAACAACAGTCTGTGTATTTGGTAGTTTACCAAAGTTCTGTGGTGCCCCAGCTCTATTAGCTATTGCCCCACTGTTGAATTACTAGCCCATTGACCAAAATCAAAACACACCATGTGATTGCTTTTTTATACTGTGCTCGAATAGGCTGCTTAGGAAGAAGTGTACCAGATAGTCAGTTGAATTTGAAATATGATTCCCACTCTTCTAAGTACAGTAGTAAGTTCACTTCAGTACAATGACTAGCCATTTATAATCTAGTTCTAACGCATGGTTTGTGTGGTGGCTTTCTCCAGAGCTACTGCCTGTTCTGTATCCTTGCACTGTTAATTTCATGCTGTATGTCGTGAGGGGGTGTATTTGCTTGTGCTTGCCTTTCTTTATTAAACAGCATTGTTGTATGTTGTGTACACAGAACACGTGAACCATGTGTTTTGTATATACAGATGTGTCATCACAGTCCTTGTTTCTTACTCAGGATTGAAGAATTTTAGGTTATAAAGTCAACTGGCTTTTTTTTTTTTTTTAATTTCCTGGAAGTGCACTTAACTTGAAGAGAAGTAAAGTAGAGTAAAACAAATACTATTTAATTTATGGCATTTCTAACTAATGTTAACAATGTCCATGGCTTCCGTAAACACAACTCCAAAAATTAGGAGCGAAGTTTCAGCTGTATGCTGCATCCAGCTGTATGATGAAATATTTCTAATTTAGAAAGAATTCAGTAATGGTCTGATGCTTAAATGTTCACAGTCTAACACACTATGAAACATAAGACTTTTTGGAGGGTTCAGCACAAATGGTCAAAGCAGAAACTACTATGTATTACAGTAAATGTTTTTCAAGAAAGAATTATATGTGACAGGTATTTTGACGTAGTTGGTTTTTTGTTTGTTTGGTTTCTGTTTGTTTTTTTTGGGGGGGAGGGGATTTGAGATTGTCCATGATCTAACTGATGCCATTAATTATGGATTAAGTCCAGAATGACATGCAAGATTAAGGTTGGATCTAAGTACAGAAAAAATGGAAACAATATGAAAGTCATATGAACATTCTGATCCTGTTTGGGAAGTCAACACTTACTGAAAATAGCAAAGTTGTAGAAGAGCCATACTTGTACAGTATAAAAGTTTGAGTTTAGGGGAGGGATCCAAAGATTTTTTTTAAATAGAAAACCTGAAGAAGTTTACTAGTAGAGCTATACTGGTATTTTTGCATACAGTTTATTAGAATAAAAAGTTTTGAAAGCTGTTTTAAAAAAAACTAACAGAAAAATATAGGGATGTAATTTTCTTAATTTTATTTAATTTTTAGGACTCATTTTGTCAGTAATTGCTGCTGTTTTTTTCATCATAGTTATTGCTTAGTTTCTAAAATGGTGCCCCAGGACTGTATGTGTCCCACTGTGGTAAGAAAGGTCCATGTTGATCTTTCTTTCTCCTTTTGGCAGTGCTGTTTCTAGTGTTAGGTTGGAACAGTGCAACTCTTTCAGCATGCAAATGGGCTAATACTGTGCCTGATGTGTTGGTCTAGGTAGTAGGAGTACATTATCCCTTTGGATTTCTTCAGAGTGCTGGAGACAACTCAGTTTATGTGGCTGAACTCTCTACAGTTAGACACCTTTTTCTGGTGGAAATTTCCTTTACAGTAAATATGCACCCTGTGAATGAAATTTAATATTCATAAATTGACAAATACACATTGATTGTTTTCTGAACCAATGAACAAACTATCTGAGCTCTGATGTCCTATTTACATTTTTATAACAGCGTTTTTTTCTTAGCAGTTAACGTGTTTTATGGTACTTGGGGGGAAAATAGGGCAAACTTTTATATGGGCTTTCCATAGTTAGAACTATTTGTTGATGCTAATTGCAGACTAAATTATATAATTTTTGAAGGCCTGACTTCTAACTCCTAAGTCATTAAATTATGACAACAGTTCAGGAAAACACCTCTGTTCTGGAAGGCTATTTAAGCACACATATAAATGTATGAATTAATTCCTGCGAGAATTTAGACACGTGCTTAGAGTATGTGGAAAGTGCATAAAAATGATATATGCTTAATTAAGACCTCATATGCACCCAGATATCTGTAATACTTACTACATAATACCTCATGCCTAAATTGGTTTATCTAAAACAATGACAACAAATCAGTGATGTTTGACTGTGTGGACTCTGTAACTTGTTTCAGCTCAGGAGAAGTTTTGGAAGGCTGCTCTGGGTCAGTTTTTGCCCCCTGCCTCAATTTCCATAGTTTGCCCTTTATGATAAAGATTGCGGGCAAATATAGTGAAGGTGAATTTCTCAGGTGCAAAGATCAGCATAAGGCATTGCAACATACTAGAGCAAGTAACCTAAATAAATGCCTAACATAATGTAGTTCCTTAAACTTGGGTACTTCCTGGTACTTTAGGTGCCCAGGTGTTTTCTGAATGGACTGATGGACCTTGAAAAAGAATCAGGAGCTCTGGAGATACATCTAAATTCCTGGTGTGATACACCAGGATATCTAAAACTGTGTTACATGTTTTGCCTATGGTCTCTAACCCAAAACATTAGTGCAGGGCTGGAGTCTCTTCTTTTGCTATGTTGAGACACTTCATGAAACATTCAAAGTCTTAAGTCTAAATTTATTTTTTCTGTTTCTTTGTGGATTCCACTGCCTGGAATTGTCATATGTTAGTTATTAGCTATGTTTCATATTAAAAAATGAAAGTTTTTAAAGTTTAGAATTGTGGGTTATTTTCCAGATTGCAAATAGAATTTCCATGTATTTTTACCTAATTTCACTAGCTTTTCTATTATTCCAGTGTAAACACAAAAACTTGGCAGTAAAATCCCACAGTCTCTCTAATGGAATGATTCGTTTAATTTCTGTATCCCAAATCCTTAAATTTGTGTTAAAGGCTTTAACACATAGAAAGAGTATAGTGTTTCTAACAACCTGGTATTTTTAATTTACTTAATTTGATTATCTCTGTATGCATAGCCTGTTTTAATTGACCAACCAGTTGTTCATTGTTGGATAAAGACAGCCTTTGTTTCTTTCAAAGAGTTTTTAGGAAAAATAACTTTGAAGATTTTAATGTATGTCAGAGACCTTACCTCGTTTTGCCACGTGTAGCCATGCCCATGCCTATTTGTTCTATGTTACTAGCAGAAATGGATAGTTTTTGATTATATGCTAATTTTTAGTCTTTTTAAACTGTACACTGTTAAAAGAATTTGGATTTTTAACGGGACTGTGGGATTGAATATTAATTAATATGAACTGGCACAGAGTAGTAGGGAAGGTTGAATTGGCCCTTTTTTGCTCTTTGTTGGCTGCTGCCATTACACAGCATGAGAGGGTGGAGCAGCCTGCCTGGAGCTGGTTTTTTCCCTTTCCACACTTGGCAGTGTGGCAGGGAATGGCTTCGTTCTTTGCTCAGCCTTACTTAGCGCAGCTACACCACATATAGGCCTGGCCCAAGTTATTTCTCCTCTAAAGTGTAAGAAACAGGGCAAGCAGATTGTCAGTCTGGGAGTTGCAATCTGTTTCCTCATCTGTTTCTCGGAGCAGTGTCTTGCTTGCAGCAAAGCCACAGTTTAGCCTGATGGCCTCAGTGCGTGCTGAAAGCCACACAGATCCTCTTCTGTCCTTGTGCCGAGCCCTCTGATTCATTCAGCTTCTTTTGCAAAAGCAGATCACACTTGGTAGGCCTTGTCCTAAGCAGAGACCAGCATTCCCAGATTTCCCAATAACCTTCTTTATCCTGTCAGAATAGGTAACCTAATTCTTTTGAGGACATATTTAATCTTTCTTCTTTCTGCCTTTCAGTATGGAAAGCAAACTAATAATCAGGACAACAGTTTATGCTTCTTGGTATTAGTGATAGTTGATTGCTGCTTAG